TCCATGATTTGAATTATGCATTATTTTCTTCGTACATTCTTTTGGCTGATCCAGACGCACGCAATGTTAACTAACAGAAGGTCTGCCCTTCCTCTTCCTCTTTCTCATAGCCCATTTGATAGATGGGGTATCCCTCTTGTTGATGGCTGATATCAAACAGTTAATGAGAGAAGTTATCTGGTTGGCGGAGGTCCTCTAATCCTCCGAATGTCCGGTTCTGAGGTACGCTATTCTTCCCTACATAGATAGAAAATCGTAAGAGGATAAAGTTGGGTTCTCTGGTTGTTCATCCGATGATCAAGTCAGCAATTTGCTTGAGTGGAGAAGTAACTGAACTGTAGAAGTTCTTAAGCACTATGCGTAGAGTTGAAGATCTTACCTTTTTATTGAAAATAGTTTTCCTATTTATAGTGGTAGTAGAGGGGTAGAGTGGTAACTTCAACTGAATATAGGCCAGCAGCCAAGTCATCATCTACTTTACAGGTGTCGGCCGACGAGTGAGGGGGAGGTCACTTCCGCATTTAATGTGAAGTGATCTGGAGCATATGGTGCCGACGTGGATCGAGGTGTCATAAAGACTATTAAGGACTAAGAAATGATTAAGCCGGTCATGCATTTAATAGCATTTATTGTAAGGTGGTCAGCTGTCAGTGCGCATGAGGGGGCTCAAGGCTCGAGGTAGTCATCGCCTTTCTACTCATTCGATAGAAGGTTGAGAAGTACTTCCTTTTGAGTCACCTTCACGAGATGTCGACCGAATGGTCAGTTGAGTATGTTGATCAAGAAGTCGACCTAACCAGGGGTCGACATATAATGCCTTTTGAGTCACCCTCACAAGATGTTGGCATGTCGAGTCACCCGAGCAGGGTATTTGGTTATCTTGAAATGAAGAGCTGGCTCGATTATGCATAATATGGGAAACTTGTTTGCTATTGATTAGAGATTACTTTTTAGTACTAAAACAACTATAATAGTTGGTCCCTTTTACTTAGTCGGCCTAGGCCAAGTCCGAGTGAAATGACACAGGTCATGCTGAGTCACGAGGAGCATTAATGAGGAGGATCTTTGAACTTTGGAGGATAAGGGGTTGTATCCCATTCGGCTAGATAGGACCTAACAACTCCCTCATCTTGGAGCTTGTTTCTAGTGGCAATGGCATTGAGGTGGGCTTCCAGCTCTTCTATTTTAGCTGATTAGGGCTTCTACTCATTCTCGGCCTCTTTTCCTTCTTTAAAGAAAGATTCTAGGTTGTGAGCTTCTTGGTAAGAAGTTACACTCTCAACCACTTTTTCCTTCCCTTATGATGTAAAGGGTCAGGATGAAGATGATCCTCCCCTTCAGAAAGATTCTTGCCTAGGCGACGAATTTGTCTTTTAGGATTTGGCCCTGTCTGTAACAATTTGAGCCATCAGGATACAGAGTTCATCGATAGCCTCCTGCTGAGACTTGATCATACATTGCTGCTCGTCAAGTCTTTTCACGAGATCATCAGGGTGTCCCACCATGTAAGCGGAGCTCTCGTGTTCTATGAAAGAGCTAGAGGATTGAGATTCTATGATGGCTGAGTGTTCATCTTCAGACTAAATTCCTTTATCCAACTTCCGGTAGTTGACAAGAGGGATGACTCTCTTTCGAGTTCGAGTGTTGATAGATTCTATCAAACTCACTCAGGATCTCTTTCAAGATAGGGGGCCGATCCATCTCTGAGTCATCAGAGCTAGGGATTGATGATTTTCCTATACTCACCATGTTAAAAGTGACTCCAAAGTACTCTTCTTCCGAAGTCGTCTTCTTGTGGGAACGTCATCTCTTGTACAGATTTGGCAAGGAGACGTTTGTCAGTTAGCTAAATATTGATGGCCTAGTTATAGGTGCACAACATCGACATTTTAAAAGGACTGCAGAGATAAGTCACTCGCATTGGCTGGCAGGAGTGACTTGTTGGACAGCTCCGTCTCTTGATAGGAACTCCCTCAAGTCTATTGCAGAGACTAGAGATGAGTTACTCACAATTCGTGAGGTTTTTCTTTGGACCCCCAGTATTTGGCTGGACGGGACTGGTTCTTGATGGACATGGATTAGAAGTCTATGTCAGTCATCCTGAATGCGACATGACACATCTCGTTTATTATTAATAACAAAAGAGTCGTCTTTTAACATTAAAATGTGAGGGTCACGTTTAGGTAACTGAACACGAGGGTCACATTTGAGATCAAGAACGTGAGGGTCGCGTTTGAGAGTGGGGACGTGAGGGTCGCGTTTGAGAGCGGGCATGTGAGGGTCGCGTGCAACATCCTTCTAAACGCGAGGTTCACATTTTGGTTGAGCAACGCAAAGCTAAGGTTTGCGTTCAGTGCAGACTTGAGGTTTGCGTTTTTGTTGTCAAACGCACCATTGAGGGTCGCGTTTATTCTAGCTTTCGCAAGGTTCGTGCTTAGGCCCGTAAACATGAGGCTCGTGTTCTAGAGTAGAAATACGAAGCACAGGGTCGCGTTGAGGCTCACAAATGCGAAGTTCACGTTGGCTGGGTGATCGGCTTTCTCTAAGTTGTGCTCGTTGTAGGGATCTTCTTCTTTGGTGAGCAGGGTTCTTTTTCGCCTTAGTTGAGGCTTTTGCAATGATGTTACTATTTGTATTGATCGGGTTAGTCGCAGAAATTAGTCTCTTTTGACCTGATACCTTTTGCTGAGGTACGAGTGGAAGGTCCGCAACTCACTTGGCGAGTTTGACTGAATTGAAGTCTTCTCCTTCAGAGGGGGAACCATATGAACAGTATGACCCTAAGGAAATACACTCCTTTTGTGAGTCGGCGATAGGAGGAATCTTGGTCTCTTTGGAGACTTTGCGGATCTTGCACATAGGCTTGGGGCAAAGGGATCCAGTTGAGAGAAACTCCTCGTACTTGGCTTGGTCGAACTCAACGGTCAGAGTTTCAATAGTAGTTCCCACGAGTTTGGTATCAAATTGTGCCACCACTTCTTCATTAGTGAAAAAGTTAGTCCCCAGTAGAGTTGCCATCTTTTGTAGGGGTGTGCAACGGTCGGTTCGGTTCGGTTTTTACCAAAATTTAAACAACTGAACCGAACCACCTATAATTCAAAACCAAACCGAACTGTTGCAAGTCGGTTCGGTGCGGTTCGGTTCGGTTTGTTCGGTTCTAACTTTATCAAAATTCTTATCAAATAACAAACTGTGTTAAAAAAAAAGATATCAACAAAGTAGGAGATTATGAAGTATTAAACACTGATATAATGATATTGATTTCAACCCATAATGATTCAGAAAATGAGTTTAAGGTTTAAGTTTTTGACTCTTTATGGACAGGTCGGGTAGGGTTTGAGATCAGAATGGGTAGTATTGCACTATATTCGGTCTGTTCGGGTCGGTTCGGGTTGAAAAATTTTCAAACCGACCCGAACCGCCCTACTCATAAAACCAATTTTTCCGGGTTGGTTCGGGTCGGTTCGGTCGGTTTTTTCGGTTTGGACCAAACCATGTTCTGCCCTAATCTTTTGTTTGAGAAGAAAATTATAAGAAAATTAAAAAATAAATTTGTATTAATCTCCCTAACTGACTTAGAAAAAGAATGAATACAATCTCTCAAAGTAACTTCTCTCTAACTGACTTAGAAAAAAATTATAATTTTCTTTATCGGTTTTCCGATTTACAAAAGAGAGAAAGATCAACGGAGATCATTCTCTTTGTTTAATACTGGGTTCTTCTTCGTGACGATGAGAGCTTGAGTCTTGTATCCCGTTTATGATCCGAACACCTCGCTTCGTGGAACTTTGTTGTCTCCTCTTGACTTAGTGTCTTGGAAGAACTTGCAAAACAAATTTAGAACTCTAAACAAGTTTAAGAAATCTGTGAAAGAGTTAATTTCAGAAAGGAAATTTAATCATTTTTAACTGAAATAAGCTAAATAGCCAATCTCAAAGTTCTTCAACCGAAAATGGTTCAAAAACCGAAGCTTCCAAAGCTCCAAAAACTCCAACAAAAGCCTACCCAAATGATCCAAAGGGATCTGTATTCAGCTAAATTCTCAACTATTTATAGGGTTTAAGGGGTGTAACTAACCCCTTAATTCGCTCCATAATGAGGGTTTAATGGCCCCATTACGTGGAAAAACGGTTTTGAAGCCGATCAAATTGTGTTTGAAATAGTCAAACGCAAGGTTCGCATTCTGGAGTGAGCTTCGTGTTCAGCTTTGTGAAATGTGGAGGTGATCCTCGTGTTTTGGAGTTAAAACGCAAGGATGACCCTCGCGTTTTGGAATTGGAACGTGGGGGTGATTCTCGTGTTTTGGAATTGGAACGTGAGGGTGACCCTCATATTTTTTGAATTGGAACACGAGGGTGGCCCTCACGTTTTGGAATTAAAACGCAGGGATGACCCTCGCGTTTTGGAATTGGAATGCCGGGGTAGATCCTCACACTTTGTAGTTGGAACGCGGGGGTGACCTTCGCGTTTTGGAGTTGGAACGAGGGGGTGGCCCTCATGTTTTGGAATTGGAACGCGGGTGTGGACCCTCACGTTTTGCTTTGAAGAGATCGTTAATTGTAATCTCTTTTTCAAGTTCTGTTAAGATCGTCATTTTGTAATATTTGCATTTGGCTTTTTGAAATGTGAAAGTCGCCAATCTGTAACTCTCGTCTGTTGTCGTGAAAGTCATCAGATTGTAACTTTCATCGTTAGCATTTCGTGGGGACCAACTATTTGCAGTAATTTTTTTGACCGCCTATAAAAAATTAAGGTGGTTTTTTTTGTAAAAACCTAATAAAATATTATTAAACTATGACAGGATGTTTGGATACGATTAGAACATAAAACACAGAGCTCAAGCCATTTTGACCAGAATCTTACTTATAAAACACTGCCGACACAAAGCACAATGTATTGTTTATAAGTAGAAGCTTTGTGCAGTGTAAATGCATATGCCAGATGCAAATATTTATTTTATCAAATTGATTTTAACTTTTTTATAAAAAATTAAATCCTATTCAGTTGTCTGTTTTAGATTTCTTAGAGAAAGGTTTTAGCTTTTTAGCCGGTATTTTATTTATTTATTTTCCTTGCGTTTTGTTTATTAACTAATCAAGAAAAAGAGACTTCAAGTAACAGTACTCTTTCTCATTCTGAAAGAAATGGAAGGGATCCCCTCAGTAACTCTCAGCTCAGGCCACTCTATGCCTGTAATAGGCATGGGTACCGTCTCATACCCGAAGCCCGAACCCGGAGCTCTTCGATCAGCGATGCTCGATGCGATCACGGTCGGATATCGCCACTTTGACACCGGCGCTTTGTCTCTGTACGGCACAGAGGAACCTCTCGGCGAGGCAATTGCCGAGTCAATTCGATGCGGGCTCGTGAAGGACCGGAGCGACCTCTTCGTGTCCACCAAGCTGTGGGCTGCGGATGCTCATCATGATGGCGTGATTCCGGCGCTTCAGGAGTCCCTCAGGTAAAGACACTTCCAACCGTGTGTTTGTTTGTGTGGGTAGTTTATTCACTGTTTGTACTGATACGCTGCTTCCATGTATCTATTTGATCCGTCTCTGAGATGTGTGTATTGTTTAAGTTGAAGAGTGGCTCGCATCCATTCGATTAGATGTGCTTTTACGTTGACTTACATTAGAAAGGGAGTGAGATTGACGAAACATCGTTGAATATATAGTTAAATTCATGTCTCAAATAGATTTCGGGTTACTTCGAACATAAATATATTAGTTTCCCCTCAAACTTTTAATTCCACATATCACCCTTAACTTTAAGGGTTTTTGCACATAATTAAATATCTGAACTTCTTGATCCAACCCGTGGATTGACGGACCGTTTCTGTTGGATGCTACATTTACTGTGAGATTCTGTTGCATGGTTTAGGGCTCACATTACATTTGGTTTTCACACTGTAAGTTGACACACTATATCTTCATTGGCCATTAAGTTAAGGCGTTGGACTCAAGTTGTACTGGATTGAGAACTGAGCCAAGGTGGAGAACTATTAAAGAACGTCTCACATTTTATTAGTTTAGATTAGGCTTAGTTTAAGAGAGAAAAAAAATGCATATGTGAGATTTAGTCCCACGGAAACTGACTGGCTAGACGATTAAATGAATATAAGATTAAATATATATGAACTCGACGATCACTCTATCTCCAAGTAGATTAGCCTTCTTCAACTCAGCAGGCCTTTGCAATAACCCTAGCAATTTGCATTATTCTGTCTCCAATGATATTTTATGCAATGTATGTACTTTAGTTAGTTCATCTCTTTAATGAGACTTTATACTGTAAAAGTTTGTAAATGATTTTCATAAGGGGCTCTTTATATGAATTTTTTTTTCGGTTCTAAAAGGTTTTATGTTTCAACAACAACATTCAGTCATATCATGTTTGTCTAAATTTAAATGGAGTTCATGAAAGGAACTCTTAACTATTTCTAACCAAATAACACTGTCATGAATGTAGGAAACTACAGCTGGAATATGTGGATCTCTATCTCATACACTGGCCTTTTGGCCTGCCAAAAGAAGAGACCAAGTGGCCAATTGATGAAGAGAAAATAGTTGCTCTGGACTATGAATCCGTGTGGAAGGCAATGGAGCAATGCCAAGCACTAGGTTTAGCAAAATCCATTGGAGTGAGCAATTTCTCTTGCAAAAAGTTAGAGCAGCTTCTCTCAGCTGCGCGCATCCCTCCAGCAGTCAATCAAGTACGTTTTCCATTTGAAGTGGTTGGATTACATATCTCACGGTTAATTAATTGCAGGTACAAATCCTGTTCGATCTTGCAAGAGATTAGTCACGTATTACTTCCAAACTCTCTTTTAGTAGGATCTTCACCTTGATGTCCAAACAGAGTTATTTATTATTTATCCATGGATCCTCTACACTGCCAAAAAATAGTGGAGAGATCAATACTATATCATAACTATTAATTTGTTTAATGGATGGTTGTGACTGTTGGGACAAACCCGGAGCCCAATATAGCAGGATCGTAGCAATAGTAGAGCAAAAGTAAAGATAAAATGATAGACACACAGATTTACTTGGTTCGGCATAAAATTACCTACGTCCACGGGCAAGGATAGAAGAATCCACTATGAGGAGAAAACTCTAGAGTTACAATCTCTTTTTACAAGGACATACTCTCTCTCTCTCTCTCTCTCTCTCTCTCTCTATTTTTTTTTCTCTCTCACTCTTCTATATGAGGAGTTATTTCTGGGAGGATTTTTTTCTTAAGGATTTGGAGCATATTTATAGTGTTTGGAAAAATACTATACATAATAAAATATTAATATATTTACTATGCTATGGGGCCCACTCTTTTTGTTTTTTTTTCATTTGTTAAAAGTTTTGGCTGGGCTTAGCTTTATTAGGCACCTGCTGCTGACAATCTCCCACTTGAAGATTTGATTGAGTATCAATTTTATCTTCACATTATTCTTTCTATTTTGTCATCTTCATGTTGTTTAAGTCTCCGTTAGACCACAAGAGGATCGACACCAAATAAATTTGTCAGTATTGACTGCTTTTATCAAAAAATATGCTAGGTTGTCTTTGGTGAGAATTTTCTGCATATCCACTGTTCCTTCTTCCACTTTCTCATGAACGAAGTGATAGTGAACTCAAATGTGTTTGGTCTTTGAATGAAAGGCTGGATTTCTTACCAAATGCAAAGCACTCTGACTACCACAAAATAAAGATATCTTATTTTGTTCATGGTCGAGTTCCTCCAGCACCATCTTCAACTACATCTCTTCTTTACTAGCTTGTGTAGCTGCTACATATTCTGCTTCTGTTGTTGAAGTAGCCATAACTTACTGCAGTTTTAAAACCCAGCTTACAGCTCTGCCAGCAAGTGTAAACACATAGCCTGTGGTGGATTTGCTATTATCATGATCACTTGCATAATCAAAATCAACATACCCACTAACAATAAAATCAGATCCCCCATAATATAATGCAACATTTGAGGTTCCTTGAATGTATCTTAGAACCCTCTTTACAGCATTTCAATGCTCCTTACCAGGATTTAACATGTATCGACTAACCACTCCCAATGCTTTTGTAATGTCTGGTCTTGTACAAATCATCGTGAACATTAAGCTTCACACTGCTGATGCATACGGTACTCGAGACATCTCAATCCTCTCTTCTTTATTACTAGGATTCATACTGGAGGATAACTTGAAATTAAGAGGAAGTGTGGTAGAAATTGACTTACAATCTTTCTTTCTTGTGGTAGTGACACAAGTACCCAAGTCTGGTTCTTATGAAGAGATTCAATTTTTTCCTGCATTAATATCATCCACAAAGATGCATCTGTGCCATTTATAGCATCATGAAAAGTTGACGACTCTCCATCCTCCGTTAGAAGATAGTATGCAACATTACTCTCCGTAATATACTCCGAGTGCTAAGTCGGTGGTCTTCTCTCACGAGTTAACCTTCGAATTTCTGGAGCCTCGGACTCGACCAGTTCTTGTACATCATGCGCCTCGGACTCGACCAGTTCTTGTACATCATGCTCCGGTGTTGCTTCAGAAGAATTCAGATTATCTTCTACCTGAACAGCTACAGCTTGTACATCATGCTCCGGTGTTGCTTCAGAAGAATTCAGATTATCTTCTACCTGAACAGCTACAGTCTCCGAGTCCTTCCTCGAACTGCTTTTTTTTTCACCACTTTGTAGTTGATTTTCTACAAAGATAACATCTCTGCTGATGATAACTTTACGAGTAGTATAATCCCACAAGCGATACCCCTTTACTCCATCAGCATACCCTAAGAATAGGCATTTTTTGGATTTTGAATCTAGCTTTGTAATTTCTTGGGCATTGTACATTGCGTACACTAGACTTCCAAGTATATGGAGGTTGGAATAATTAGCTGGCTTGCCAGTCCACATCTTCATCGGAGTCTTTAATTATATTATGGTTGATGGAGATCGATTCACCACATAACAGGCGGTTTTTACTGCTTCCGCCCAAAAAATTTTATCCAGATTTGCAGTTGCCAATATAGCTCTTGTTTTTTCCAACAGAGTTCTGTTCATCCGCTCCGCCACTCCATTTTGTTAAGGAGTATAAGCAGTGCTGAATTGTCTTTTGATTCCTTCTTGCTTGTAAAATGCTAAGAACTCACCGTCTGTGTATTCTCCTCTATTATCTGATCTGAAGCACTTGATCTTCTTCTCAGATTCAACCTCGACCCGTGCTTTGTAGGCTTTAAAGACTAAGAACATATCCGCCTTCTTCTTGATAGGATACACCCAACATCTCCTGGAGTAGTCATCAATAAAGGACATAAAATATTTTGCTCCTCCCAAGGATGTAACCGGTGCTTGCCATACATCAGAATGAACTAGTTTCATAATGGCCTTGCTTCTAGAACTTGATGTGTTGAACTTCAGCCGATACTGCTTACTTATAACATAATGCTCGCAGAATGGAAGAGCTACCGAATTAAGTTCAGGAAGCAGCTTCTGATCAGAGAGAATCTTCAAGCCTCATTCGGATATGTGGCCTAGTTTGCGATGCTACATCATGGTTTGTTCTTCTCCACGGCTGGTTGATGCCACACATAAATCAGCTTCCTGTAGGATTTCTCCCTTGAGCATATATAGATTTGTAGCTATATTTTCTTCTTTTATTACCATAAGCGTCCCTCTAACAATCTTCATAATCACATTTTCTATATGGGTCTTGCACTCGAGCTCATCTAATTGTCCAAAGACAATAGATTCTTCTTCAAGCCCTTCATATATCACACATCTTAATGGTGCGTATTGTACCATCAAATATTTTGATTTTGATAGTGCCAATACCAGAAATCTTTAAGGCATGATCATTCCCCATAAATACAGATCCTCCTGAGATAGATTCATATTTGTGAAATCATTTTTTCCGGGAGGTCATGTGCCAGGAGGCTATTGAATCTAGAAGTCAGACATCAGCAAACCTCTTTCTGCCTTCATCAACAGTGGTTGCTTCACTAAATAGAACTTCACCATCGTTTGATGTGCTGACAATGCATCCTTAAGATGTTGATGGCTCTGAAGACTTTTTATCTTCACTCTTCTTATTGTGCCAACACTTCGATTTGATGTGTCCTCTTTTACTATAGTTATAGCATTTGATATTCTTCTTACTTCGTGATTTTGATCTATCATGGGTATGACTCTCACTGGAGCCATGCTCCATTGATCTTCCTCTCGTCACCATTAAAGCCTCCGCTTGTTGCGAACTTGCATGCATATCTTCCATGTTCTTGCGCTAATTTTCTTCCTCTACAATAGCGGTTGCAACATCATCGAAGACTAGATTGTCTGTGAGGACGTTGTTTGTAAGGTTGATGATGAGTTGGTCATATGAGTTAGGTAGACTCTGAAGTAGAAGTTCTGCACGTTCATTCGCACCGATTGCATACCCCAATGTTGTGAGTTAGGAGAACAGTGTGTTTAGGGTGTTGATGTGGTCGGTCATCGATGTAGATTCCGCCATCCTCAGAGTGTAAAGTCTCCTTTTTAAGAAAATTTTGTTGTACGTGGATTTTGTCTCATATAGCTTTGTTAGAGTATCCCAGATCTTTTTTGCTGTCTTCTTCTCCTCTTTGCTTGACAGCACCCCGCCTGCTAATACCAGATAGAGATTTGTAATAGCAGTTTAGTCCATCTCGTTCCACTTCTTATCATCTGTGATGTCGTCCGGCCTTGCACCGATGGCCGCCAGACAATTATTTTTTCTCAAGATAGCCTTTATGTTTAACTTTCACAGTGAGAAATTACTCTCGTCAAATTTCTCGATCTTGAACTTTGTCACTATTACTTCTACCATGAACAGTAACTTCTTACTATCTCACGTAAACAGTAACTGTATTTATGAACAGTGATCGTATCTGAGAATAGTATCATACTTGTGAATAGTACTATATTTATGAACAATACTGTACTCGTTAATAGTACCCGTCACCTTCAAAGGGTAAATGATAACCTAACTTATTTTCTTATGTGGAGGATCCATCTTTAGTGGCAGCCACAGAGCATACGATAAGTAGATATATACAAGCATCCTAAGTTGGCTCTGATACCACTTGTTGGGACAAATCCGGAGCCCAATAGAGCAGGATCGCAGCAATAGTAGAGCAAAAGTAAAGATAAAATGATAGACACACAGATTTACGTAGTTCGGCATAAAATTACCTACGTCCATTGGCAATGATAGAAGAATCCACTATGAGGAAAAAACTCTAGAGTTACAATCTCTCTTTACAAAGAGATACTCTCTCTCTATTTTTTTTCTCTCTCACTCTTCTATATGAGGAGTTGTTTCTAGGATGATTTTTTTCTTAAAGATTTGGAGCCTATTTATAGTATTTGGAAAAATACTATGCATAATAAAATATTAATATATTTGCTATGTTGTGGGGCCCGCCCTTTTTGTTTTCTTTTCATTTGTCAAAAGTTTTGGCTGGGTTTGACTTTATTAGGCACCTACTGCTGACAATGACTTATAGCAAAAATTAAGAAAATAGTGTAATTAATTCATGGGGTATGATGAGTGTTAGATATGGAATGAATCAGAATCATCCACTATATATTAATCATATATAGCTATAATTAACGTATTGGTCTCTCCACTAATTTTTGGTATATAGCAGAGAGGATCCAAATTTGTATATTATCAATTGGAAGGTCTCTCTGCAATACATTGGAATATCAAGGATTTCTCTGCAACACATTAATACAGTGTGACTATCACAGATAACATAGAGATAACTACATTTTAGAATGAGATGGTCAAAATACGAAGAAAAAAGTTCATAGATATTATGTGGCTAAAGCTCTATATTACATTAATGTATCTGTAGCTGACCTTTTTTCTCAATGAAAATAGTGATAATGGTTAGTGTATATGCATGGTGCTTTAAAATGGTAGGTGGAAATGAATCCAACTTGGCAACAAAAGAAGCTGATGGATTTCTGCAGAGAGAAGGGAATACAGATTACAGCCTATACTCCGTTGGGAGCAAATGGGATGCCATGGGGAACAAGCAGAGTGCTGGAATCCAATGAGCTGAAAGAGATTGCCATGGCTAAAGGGAAATCTACTGCTCAGGTACTGTAATTTCCTTCTTCACTCCAAAAGGCTCGGGTTATTTGCGAGTAGACACTGTATATGGTTGTTTTCACCTCACTATCCTTCTAATTTCATTTTTGCGGATAGACTCTGCGAGTGTCACTTTCTTTTGACTCTTTTAGCCTCAGCGGCCTGTTTATCAAATAACAATTCTCTCTTCTCTGAGGATGAAAGAGTAAAAACAATTTCACTCAGTGGATCTATCTGAAAAAACTTAAACTAGAGGGTAGTAAATTCAAAACACTCATATTATAGGGGGTCTATCCACAATTAACTGAAAGTATGTAATCATCTTTTGTTCGAAAATCCAAAAATGGTAAGACCAAAATGACCAGCTCTTGACGTTTTCAAATCATAGATTATATGTATGTTAAATATTTGTGACGTCAGCGACATACCAATCTCATTTGCTCTTTACTAATAACAGAATGCATTTAGTCATTGTGGTCCACTTTGGTAAAGGGTTAAAGAAGAGGGACTAAGAAGAAGTATTAACCAAGTTAGCCCATTCGATAACTAGAAGAACTAAATTATTAATCCGTTATATAAGTTTTATTTTAACTCTTATGATCATTTTTAGTGTTTGGAAATTAACAATTATTTTGATTTTTTTTATAATTAGAGGGGTTAACTCTTTATCTTTCTAAATAGGAGTACTAGTAAACCCGTTAACTTATTTTAATCCCTCTAGAGGGGTTAGCTTAATCTTTCTGTATTTTTTGCGTTCAGCAAATTATAGAGGGTTAACTCACTTTAACATTGTGTAGATTTTTTGTGATTGATGGGTTAAGAAGGGGTTAAGCCTCCTTAACCCCTCACTTAACCCTTTACCAAACGACACATATTATTAACACTCTTTTTCCCCTTAATATGCATATTATTAATGTTTTTTTGTTTTGCCCCCCTTCAGATTTCATTGAGGTGGATACACCAGCAAGGTGCCACAATGGTTGTTAAAAGTTTCAAGAAAGAGAGAATGGAAGAAAACCTTGACCTATTTAATTGGGAACTAAGCAAAGAGGAGATGCATGAGATTAGTAAGATTGAGCAATGCAGAGGAATTCAAGGAGAGCAATTTATCTCTGCAAATGGAGCTTTCAAGTCAGTGATGGAGTTATGGGATGGGGAGATCTAGTTACTAGTTTTTAATCTCTTAAACATGTTAATGAATTTGTCACTTGTTAAATGTGTTATGATAATTAGATGAATATGACAAATGAACTGAAAAAGACATAAACTTTATTTTGCGGTCAAGTAGTAAATGCTTTAAAAATCAGTTATCGAAAATATGTTTGTTATGGTGTTCCCACTCGCTAAAATACAGTGTCTTAGCAAGCGAATATATGTATTTTTATTCACCTTGCCCCAATCAGTTGTGGCCCAAGTCCCACAGAGAGTCTGACTTAGCCAACTCGTCGAGTCGACATTCTCTCATGACGACACGAAAGGCGGAGTTAGTCGACCCTCTTGTCAAGAACGACTCGCCAAGGGTCCACTCGACCACTCGCCCAACGCCTCACGAGACCGACTTGAAAGATGTTACTTCTCGACGAAGCTATCTGCACTAGCAACATGTCCACATCGCATTTAATGCGTGTCAAGAACATCATGCCATTAGCCCCGATAGTCTTCATGACTCATCGGACCATGTGGGCTCTGCCATGCTGCCGATCACTTCTCATTTAATGCCGAAGAGATTTACCTTCCAGTCAACAGCCGATACATGTAAAGCAAAGGCTGACTCAGCTACCAACCCACACTTTGCCACCGCCCTACTATGCTCGGCTGAAGTGACCAATCAACCTCTTATACTCCGGGTATAAATACAGGTACTATTCGAACATAGAGAGGATTCGAAAATCAGACCTCCTGATATACATACTGTTTGTTGGAAAATTCGTGAAATGAAAATGAAAGAACTGTGTTTAATTTTATTCTCTCTAACTGTTTTGAAAAAGAATGCTTACAACTCTCTTAATCTCAATTACAATTTGGATTTTTTCCCGATTACAAAAAAGAGGAGAATTAATCTGAATCCTCCTCTTTATTTAAAACTGGGTTCTTCACGGTGACGATGAGATGTCTCCCTCGAATGCTCACATTGAGTTTGCTTCTCGTTGACGATCCGAACATCTTGTTTAACTGGAACGGTATATTCTCCTTACGATTTGACGATGTGGAGAACTTGCAAAGCAAGTTTGAAACTCTAATGAGTTGATAACTCAGAGCGATTTTAAACTCTTGAAAAAGAGTTGATTTGAACCGAAATATCGGTTAATAAGCCAAGGGAATGCTCTAAGAACTTTGTTGCTACAGGAAACTCGAAGATGATCTGCTGCCGAGAAAATAATCCGAAGAAGCCGATCTCTAGATCTCCAAAATACTCCAAGATCCCCTAGAAAGCTAGTCAAAGATCTCTTCTTCGCTGCCAAGTCGAAGGACCTGAACTTAGTTGAGTTTACTCCTATTTATAGGAGATTAAGTGTGTAACTGTCCCCTTAATTCTCTCCATAATGGGATTGAATAGGGTGTAATCGTCCCCTTAATCTGCTACTAAGTGGGGTGAAAATCCCTTCAAATGTGAGGGGAAAACAGCTCCTAAAATCGTTCAGCTCGTGTTTGAACGAGTCAAACACCAAAAATGGCGTTTTGGGCCCGAACTCTGTGTTTTAGACTTGAAACCCAGAGTTGGGCCTGTTTTAGGCTGAAAACACAGTGTTTGTACAGTGTTGTAAATCTAAAATACAGAGTTGGGACGTAGAGATGAACTCTGTATTTTGAGTCCACGAACTCTGTATTTTTAATTGGAGCGCTGGGGATGACCTCTACATTTTGACTCTGAATCGTGGGCATGACCTCTGCGTTTTGATGTTGTAGCATAGGGATGACCTCTGTGTTTTGATGGTGTAACGCAGTGATGACCTCTGCATTTTGATGGTGAAACGCAGGGATGACCTCTGCGTTTTGATGTGAAGAGACCATCAATTTTTGGTCTCTTTTGCTGGATCGTTGCAAAGACTGTCATCTTGTAATCTTCATCTTGGCTCCTTGAAAATATGAGAGTCGTCAGATAGTAACTCCCGATGTTAGTTGTGAAGGCTGTTGAACTAGAGCTTTCATCAGTTATTGTGAAGGTCGTCAGATTATAATCTTTATCGATCTACATGAAAGTCATCAAATTTTAGCCTTCTGGAAGTCGTCAGATTGTAACTTTCATCATCGGTGTTTGATAGGAAATCAGCTATCTGCAGTAATTTTTAGACAACCTATAGAACTCCCTCCAAAGTTTTCAAAAGTTCACGGTTGACTGGGATGAATTTTCGAAATACTTTAGATCTTAATTCTGATCTTGGAGCTGTTGATTCCTTGTCGTAAAGGAGTTGTTCTCTACACTCGCTTCGAATGCATCTTGGTTGAAGGAATTTGTCACGCAGGACCTGTATGAAGGTGTGCATCATAATCCTACTTCTGGAATGCGGGGCTGGACCCCTGCATTTTGAACTTGAGGTGCGGGTCTCACCCTTGCATTTTAAATTTGGAACCTGGGTGTGACCTCGACGTTGTGGTTTTTGCATCGCGGGTCTGACCTCGGTGTTTTGACTTGAGACACAGAAGTGGCTTTCATGCATTTTTGACTAAGTCTTTGAGACTTGTCTTTAGCTTATCTATTTTAAGTCTCGGCTCACATCCATTAAGCTGATAGGCCTACAAACATGCATAGGATTTTTGACAAACGCTCAGCCATAAACGGATTTGATAAGCCTTTACCGACTACCGTTTGTGTCGGGCTAGCATGTGGATTGTCTAAGTCTGTTACACATGTAACGTTGTGCTAAGAGAATGAACCCTCTTAGACTTGATGCTATAATTTTGAATACATAGACTTTGTCATTTTTACTGAAAAAGACAAACCGGCAACGCGTGTTAGGCGTAGACTTATCTCTAATTAGCTTGATGCGACATAATTATGTACCAAAATTGCAAGTGCACAATTTATCAAGTTACAGTATAAAAAGATATCGATCCCACGAGGAAGGTGATTTTAAGAGATTATTAGAAATGGTTCTTATGTTTTGTGCGTGACAATTAGGAATAAAGAATAAGTGTGAATGTGATGAATGATTTTTGTGAATATATGCAAAAGATAATGAATTAAATTTTAGAGGAGAGAATGAAGAATTAAAGAATAAATGAAATCTCAAGGCAAGAAAGAAGAATGAATAAAATCAAGAAATAAACCAAGAATGAAAAGAAAATTTAAGAAGGTTAAGATGGAGGATTCAAAAGAGGTAAGAAATCTAGAATATAATCCACTAACCAATTTCAATTATAAAATACAAACTATTCTCTTTTTATCATATTTCAACTTAGATTTATTAATCATCTACAATTGAACCCACTTCTTAGAAAAGGGTGATTCCCTAGAGGGTTCTAGCCTAAAGGCGAATCAAACAAAATAAAAATAAACAAAAAGAAAAACTAAACCCAAGAGGGTTCTAGCCTCAAGGTGAATAGTATAAGAAATTAAAATCTAACTACAAAATAAAGTGCAAAATCTAAACTACAAAATAAAATTGCAAGAATTAAATGCAAGAAATTAAATCTATTCTATAAGCATGAAATAAATCTAAGGCAAGAGGGTTCTAGCCTCTTGGCTATTTAACAAGAAAATAAAATCTAAACTACAAGCATAGAAATAAATCTACACTACTAAGCAATAAAAAGGAAATAAAAGAGAAAAAGGAAAGAAAATGCAAACCTCTAAATAATTCTTCATCTCCATCTTCATCATCCAACAAAGAGAAGAAATATTTAAAGTGGTGAAAAAATTATTATTATTAATTGCAACTAAAGTTACATTTTTGGAAGGCCTTCTCAATTAAGAGTAGCCCTCCTCTCCAAAAGAAGTTTACAAAATTTTCACACCTCTAACCCCTCACTCTCTACCCCTATTTATAGTAATCTTCAATGAATATGAGCCATTGGATTTGTCTTGAGCCCCAAGTAATAATCTTCACCTTTGATTTACTTGATTTTCAAAAGAAATTCAAAATCCAATTTATTTTTGTGAAAATTCAAGTTGCAGCAATTCCAGAGTCCGGTCCATCATGAAAAATCAAAACTGTAGCAACCATTTGATGTCCGGCCCAATGAGTTTGCAGCATTTCATTTGATAAATGCACATCCAAACTAAGCTTAAATCAAAGCTTCACCATTTCACATGAAAGTCCGGCCATTTACAATCCAAGTGCAGCAATCAAAAGTCATTTTGATTTTCAAAAGAAAATCACAATTCCAGCCCACTTGATTTTTGCAGCAAATCAAAAGTACCCGGTCCAATGGAGTTTGCAGTTCATTTTAAAAATAAAGTCCGGTCTCTTCATTTGGTTTCGGCCCATTCATGATTCCAGCCCATATGGAAATTAAATCTCCAGCAACCAATGAAGTCCGGTCCATAAAGCAAATCATCCAAGTCCACATTTCACCAAGTCCAAGTCTGCAGCACAAATCCATTCTATTAATCTTTGCATCCAAGTCCAATTCTTTCCAACTAATTGCATCCAAGTCCATTCCATTGCTTTTCTTGGTGTATTTATTTTTCATTTAAAGATAAAAACAATTATTAGTGGTATATTTATTCATATAAAATAGATAATGAGGGTATAAAACTGTAATAAAATGTGATTATCAAATACCCCCACACCTAAACTTTTGCTAGTCCTCTAGCAAAGAAAATAAAAAGAAAATCCTAACTCACTTTCGCAGGAATCGCGGTTGTATTTAGCGCATACAACAAGCCTTTAAACCCCTAGGTTACCCTAGTGGACGAGTTGTAGTCTCGTGAGGGTTTGCAGTGAATATACCCACAAAATTCGGTCAACTTGCCAAGTTAAATAAGTCAGTAAATAACAGATTTTCCTTGATATATTTAAACATTCTAATTGAAGCTAGTTAATAATCAAGAAAACGTTTTTATATATAACTCCAATGTAAATCCCCTAGAAAATCTTTTTCATTATAGCAATACAAAACCAAGTCAAATCTTAGAAATTTAATTAAAAAGTTTTGAAAAGAACATTCCAACTCTTTGTTTTAAATAACTTTCAAGTCCCTTGATCAAAAATTATTTTTCAAGACCATATATACAAAACAACAATATATAAAAACAATGGTTAGTGTTTTATGTGTATAATATTTTTTTTTCACTCTCTAATTCTTGGTGATTGTTTTCTATTTTAACGGGCTTTCTAAGTGACCATTTAACGAGTTTTGGGCCAATGCATCCT